CAAATAATGGTTACGTACAAACTTACAATCTTGACAACTTCAAAACTTCAAGATCATAGTTAAAGCAAGCACAGCACATATAAACCTAAAAAAGTATTGAAAAACAACAAAACAAACATTACCCTAGTGATGAAGCTACATCTAATAGATGTAGTTAGTGCAGGTCCACATCAAGACTTAAGTCTTGCCTATTTTGTAGCCTGCTTAAATAAACTATGCATGTATGCAATACTGCATGTGAAAACTGACAGAGAACTCTGCATTCAACTCTAATCAAAAAAGAAACCAGGATTACAACTCTACAAACACTTTTTTGAAGTTCCTGGTTGATAAAAAGATTCACCCTCTACGTGCTACGTGAAAGCTCTGCAAGCGTCATAGGCACTTTCACCATCAGATTGTAGGGTTCGAGTATTGTAAGCTTTAATACATCTTTCATAATCCATTAAGGTCATTCCCCAGTATTGCATTGTGCATCCCTACTGCGCATGATTCCATGCGTGATTAGCGTGCGCTCATTTTCTCGAAAACGAGTACGGTGACCTATTATTTTTCTCTGTTGTGTTGAATGAATGAGTTGCCAGTAATCGGATACCTGTGTTTGCGCGAAGAACACGGGTATCCGATTACTGGCAACTCATTCATTGAGTAATAAATTTCTCTGTGTAAATTAAATATGGGCCAATTCTCAGTGTTGAGCAAGAAACAATCGTCGGAAACGTGAATTTAGCAAGTAATCGTGACTATAATCACGGTGCTATTGTAAGGATTTGTATGGTACAAACAAGGTGCTGTTGCTCCTAAATGAACATGGAGAACCCTCATTTCTATTTCCAAATTTAAGTTCCTACAATATAAACAGTCAATAGGCAAAGTTTGACAAAAATCACAGTGCAGGTTCTATTTCAGTGGAATGACCTTAAGACCAGGGCATGGCGGCGGCGGCTTTCACGTATTTGCACTAAAATTCTACGAGTATTTTTAGAACTTAACTTACATCGTATATTTTAGTCTCCCCAATTAGTAGAGCACTTGTGCTCAGCTATTAAGACTTCAGCTATTAAGACTGAGACTTAAATAAAGTTGTCATTCATTCATTCTTTCAAGTATTCAAACTTATGTAAGCATTGGCTGAAAGTTTGGTCATTCGAGTATAACAACTTGCCTTACACAGACGAGTTTCACGCATTTAAGCTTATACCTCACCTCTTTTCCAATCAATAGGCAGTCTTACTGAAGTGCAGTAAGTTTCCCTTCGTGAAAACTGAATCTTCTCAAAAGTGACACACAGCAAGAGCCCACGTGACACCGCATAAGCAATCTTATTGGGTTGCGACCTTTGCAACCATTTATAGTTTGTGGACCAATCAGAGAAGACCTTTCGAGAGCTGCTACAGTACTGAAGACTTTCGGTGACTTGAATTAAATATCTTACCTCCAAGTTAGTTGGCTCTCTAGTAGGGTGCAGGAAAAAAAAAACGTGTGAATTTGGAGGCACATTGTGCGGGAGAATTAAACCTTCGATTGTGCGGGGAATTGTGCGGGATTACTGACGAACCAATGTTCTTGCCAAGTCCTAAGGAAAATCTGCGGTGATGGACCAAAACACTGACCCCTAGTCCATGGACTACCCTTGCTAATGGACTACCCAAATGGACTACCTTAAAATGGACTACCCCTAAAAAATACTCTTTCAGATGAGTGGTATGTTTAAGAAGCTACAATTACATACTTACACTGCACGGAGGATGCTTTTCTTTTCGTTCCGGATCGCCTTCAGTTGCCATTTTGAATAACTATGCTGAATTATTTAGAAAATAAAGATGTTGTTATTGTTGTTGTTGCTGTTGCTAAAGGGACAGTCTCTGGGATGTTGTGGCATAGTGGACTTAATAGCGGCTTTGTTGATGATTTGTCCAAGGACTGTACTGTTTCAAAACTGGTCCATACTCCAGTAACAAAGGAGGAGGACGCTTCGATAGACTACCATATACTGAGCCTCGCAAAACCACAAAGTCCAGGCCAGCCAAGAATACTAGTGCTTCCACTCCACTCTGAATTTTTGTAGCGTAGTCGTTGGAATTTCTTGCTGTCCCATAGCTTTATCCTCAATCCCATTTCTATTTCATTTTGATACACTCAGGAAAAAACCAGAAGACTAGCTGCTTCTGTGCCATAATTTTCGACACAAAACAAGCAAAACAAATCATGAGTAACATCCTGAAGATCATTTCGTCTGTTCGAGAAAGACTGAGCTACTGAATCACATGGGAGCAAGATTGAGT